TTAAAGATTTTATTTATTTATTTGACAGAGACAGAGATAGTGAGAGCAGGAACACAAGCAGCGGGAGGGGGAGAGGGAGAAGCAGGCCTCCCGCCGAGCAGGGAGCCCGATGTGGGACTTGATCCCAGGACCCTGGGACCATGACCTGAGCCGAAGGCAGACGCTTAACGACTGAGCCACCCAGGCGCCCCTTGTTAACTGTAATTTCATGTAAATTTGTTTAGGATGTGGTTTTGTTTTTCCCCCTATCTTATTTAGAGCATGACTAAGTTGATAAAACATCATCTAAGGCAATGGTTTTCAACCTTGACTGCACATTAGAATCCCCAAGGAACTTTAAAAAAAACCTCTCTACTTCTAGAGACCAATTTAATTGGTCTGAATGGGGACCTGAGCATTTGTATTTTTAAAAGCTCCCCAGTGATTCTAATATGCAGCCAAGGTTGAAAAACTCTGGCCTCAGGCATAGCTAGTCAATACACTTTTAACTGAGAAATAAAGCAATTATTTTAAAACTATAGGTAATGACAATAAAATTGCAGTTTATTTTCAAATCCATTAATTTCACATCCATTAACGTGATTGTACTACATTCATAAATTATTTTATTGCATCTAGAAATACTTTTGGTTCTGTCTATATGTTTGAGAAGGTATATAAACTAATAATAAATTTTAAGTGCCAATAAGGTTGTCCAATACAAGGTTATTTTGTTTTAATCACTCTCTAGTTTAGTAATGGCAGCTTTATATTTTTTTTCTGAGAATCTCAAAGACTTACGTTTTTGAAACATATTGTAATAATCTTCCTAAGAGAATATTCAGCATAATTTTGTGCTGTAGTGCTTTAAATGTGAGGAAGGACTAAAGCCAATGCTTGAATCATTTTTAATTTTTGATCCTATAAATATGGTAATCTTCAACATTGTTGTGAAACTATTGGGATACGTCCCTCCCCCCCACCCCACACCCCCAGATTGCCCTCTGACATCTGCTTATTAAGAATCTAATATATGAGAACATAATTTTTTATTAAATAATGATTACAAACGGTAAAATGTGAATTTCAGTGTTTCTAAAGCACAAATGCTTGGATCTAAGGACAAAACCCAGCAACTCCCCATAACAAGAAAAGTTAGTGACCTTAATGAAGTGGTCCTTAAAACTTTCAATAGCTTCCACTTATAATAGAGTGCTATTCAGAAAGACTTTCCATGTACCTGAGTTATGTACGATAAAATGCTTTTCTTTCTGGTCTTTGAGGACTAAATGGGTTGTTTTAATGATAGGAAAATGTGTCAGAAAGGCAGTGGATTTCAATTTGCTTTTAAACTTTCAGGCATTATGACATCCTTGAAGACCGAGTTCCTTCAGGACTTATTGTTGATTACCGCAATCTGTTGTCCCAATGTGAGGAGAGTTACAGGACATTTTTAAATCTGAGAAGCAGTTTGTCAAATTGTAACTCTGATTCTGAGCAGGAAAACATCTCCATGGTTGAAGGGTTAAAATTGTATTCAGAGATTGAACAGTTGAAACAAAAGCTAAAACTCATTGAGAATCCTTTGTTGAGGTATGTGTGTCTTTGTTATTCTTAGTTAGTTGGCATCTTTTCTAACCAGCTGTCTTACTAAGAACTGATGGGTCTGTTGGTTTCTCTAAGATACGTGTTTGGTTATCAGAAGAATTCGAACATCCAAGCAAAGGGCATTCGTCCAAATGGTCAGAAGGTCATGCATGTGGTCTCCTCCACCATGATGACTGGTCTGCTGCGGTCTCTGCTCAGGGACAGGCTTTGTCAGGAGCCTTGTAAGGAGGAAACAGAAATTCAGGTAAAAGGAGGTTTTTACCTCAGGTGGCTTTTTTTTTTCTAATTCACTCTGGTTTTCCTGAATCCTACAAAGTGTTTACAGGAGCTTACCAGAGTTGTTTATTTGTGAAATGGGTAGTAGTGAGAGCCCTGCCTTTCATCAGCATTAGTGACTTACCAAGCACGTGTTGATCATGAGGAGATACTTAAGTATGCAGTTTGGGCTCCCTTTATAAAGTGAAGCAGGAGGGTACCTGGAGTGATATGTAGGTTGCCATTTTGGGGGGTGTATATTTGCAATCTGTTGTTGTTTTCTAGTTCCATAGTGACCCGTTGTCTGCTATAAATGCCTGCTATGAAGGGGACACTGTGATTGTTTGTCCTGGCCATTACATGGTACATGGCACATTCGCCATTGCTGATTCCATTGAGTTGGAAGGTGAGTCTGGGATATCATGCAACCAAACTCTCTTGCATGATACGCTTAAGAAAACAGTAAGTCACTGATCTTGTTGAAGCTCCAAGAATATGATTTAATCCATTTGATTTCAAATGAGTTGCCTTAAAATATTAAAAGTATTTAAAGTGTATCAGGGGGACGCCTGGGTGGCTCAGTCAGTTAAGCGGCTGCCTTCAGCCCAGGTCATGATCCCAGGGTCCTGGGATCGAGTCCCACATTGGGCTCCTTGCTCAGCAGGGAGCCTGCTTCTCCCTTTCTCTCCCTCTGCTTGTGCTCTCTCTGTCAAATAAATAAAATCTTAAAAAAAAAAAAAAATAAAGTGTATGGGGGATTGACTCCATGTTTGAGCAACTTGAGGTATGATTCTTTGTATGTGTTGGGGAAAACAAGCACATAGAGAAAAAAAGACCATTAGGAAGAAGTGTATTTCTAGATTGTAGGTGGTTTATGAAGAGGAAATCTCATTTCTAGAATAAAAATTTTTCCTAGCAATATTTTTTTAGAGTTTATTTTTTATTTCTTGCTTACTCTTATTTCTTATATGTTATGAATATGTTGATGCATGTTTTTTTGTTTTTTGTTTTTAAATTTAACATATTTTTGCATGGGTATAG